TACAGCTTTGATTAAGTCTTAGTCACCATTTTATCTTAGAAACCTTCTTCCTTTGCTGCTTTGCAAGACAGAATGCCTCTTCTAAGACAAGATGGTGCCCACCAATTACAACTTTGATTAAGTCTTAGTCAATATTTTATCTTAGAAGCCTTCTTCCCTTGCTGCTCCACAAGAGAGAACACCTCTTCTAAGACAAGGCGATGTCCACCAATTACAGCTTTGATTAAGACCGGGTCAACATGGTACGAGTGATGGCTCATCGCAGAGACCCCATGCTGGAGTCTCACCTGCGTATTCCTGTGGCAGCATCGGCCTGTTGATCAGTTTCTGAAAAGCTGAAATCCATTCCAGCTGGTCACTTTCTGTCTCGCAGGCAAAGAGAAATTTTCGGTCAGGGGTGATGATGGTTATGCCGTGTTGCCAGTGATTTCCCTGGGTGGACGGTGGGAGCCCTTCCAAGACCTTGTAGCTGTTTTCTTTGCTCCCGATAAAAACTTCTCCCCTGGCAAAAGCATCCTAGGAAAGACAAAGCAGATCACTCCAGGTTCTCAAGGGATTGGCATAAACCCTGTTCCTGCATCGCTCTGAAAATTATCCATGGGGACAGGATCTGAAGCCCCAAACAACGATTCCCTGGAGCAGCTTTTCTCAACTAGGGTTCCACAAAGGGTCATGATTGGGGGGGGGAAGCATCTTTTTCTTTTCTTTTTTTACGTTGTGCGTCACACAATGCCAGATACAATAATTTTTATGCAGGGGCTGCCAGAGACCTGAACATTATTTCAAGGTTCCTCCAGAGTAAAAAAGCTGAGAAAGGCTGCCCTAGAGGAACAGTCTCTCTCTCTCTCTCTCTCGTCATACTGGACGTAGTGGCTTATATTTTAGAAGAGGAAGAGAAAGAATTAGAAATCTAGAGAGGCTTGTAGCCAACAGGATGACATTGACCAGAGAGAATCCTGCACCTAGAGAGGGACAAAATAAGAGACTGGGATAGACCTGTTTTGGCAGGAGGACATGTGAAAAGGATCTGCGTGTCCTGGTACATCAGATGTTGAACAAGAGCCAACCGTGGAGGAAGCTGTTAAAAAGGAACTGCAGACTAAACAGGGAGTTGAGTGTTCAGAAGAAGACTACTAAGATGGTGGGGAGACTGGAAACCAAGCCCTGTATGGAAAGACTGAAAGGATTTGGGAATGTCAAGCTTACTGGGGAGATATTTGAAGACTGCTCATGCCTTTGAAGGGTTGTCATATGAAGCAGACTGTGGACCTCTTCTCTATCAGGGCAGGGCAGGACCAGACCTCACAGACTGAAACTTCCAGGAAGGAGATTCAGGTGAAATAGAAGGAGGAATTTCCTAACTTTAAGAGGTCTCCTGGCTGATGTGGGCCTTCTAATGGAGGTCCTCCAGCAGAGGCTGGAAAGCCATCCAAAGTGTTTCATCAGAACTTGCACCAGACAAAGGGTTAGACAAGTTGTGTGTTTGTGATGAACCCCTCTTCCTTTCAATCCAACCTAGTGAAGGCATCTCAGGAGATCACTTAGGATCTGTTGACCTTGGATCTGTATGGGCTGCTAGTTCACGGATGAACTAGAAAGCCCTGAAGTGTCCAAGCTGCAACATGAAAGTAAGAATAAGAATTCCAATCTGAAGGAGGGGAGGGGAAATCACTCCCCACCCCACAATTTCCATGGTTGGAAACAAAACCATGTCCTTTTCAGCATTGTGTCTGATTCCTGGCCTCCTTTGCAGAAATGAACTCACAAGGAAATAATCATAATCATATAAATAATAAAAAACCAGCAGGCAAAGCAGATAAAAACAAGACCTGGCAATGGCTAAGAGCAGGAAAGCTGAAGAAAGAGACAGAGGGACTAATTCTGGCTGCACAAGACCAAGCCTTAAGGACAAATGCATATAGAGCCAAAATTGAGAAGACAACACCAGACAGCAAATGCCGCCTCTGCAAAGAAGCTGAAGAAACAGTGG